ATTTCCCCAACTGATACTTTGCCCAACCAAAAAAAAAAGGTTTTTTAAATACTTATTATTATACTGTTAAGGGTGTAAATGATAAGGTCATAAAAAGCCTATGACTGATACATACCTTACAATTATATTGAAATCTATTCTTAAATGTAAAAAAAAAAAGTTATATCAGCCTGTACAGTTAGTACAAAAAAATGAAAAGGCCTGGTTATTTTTAATTTTTGAGAGATACCAAGAGAACATTTTCAAAAAACTTAAACACTTCCATGTACCGAGCAAGATGTCTTTATGAATTGTTTGATGGGTAAGAATAATCATTTTGCCTCTTATGGGATCTTTAAAAAGTATAGAAAAGATCATCATTTGAGATCATCTCACACCAGCAGCTGTAAAACTACTGGTCGTACAAAACAGTTAATCCAAACTGAGTGAGTCTCTCCTCTCAGGTTGACTCTACAGAGAAACTAAGTTAAACAAAAAAACATGATCATGATCTGTCTTATGGAGCAATGTATTCGTGATAAAACTACACTTCACTGTTGCTCAATCTTCAGTCTCTACATCTCTGCCCACCTGATCATCTTTGGAAGCAACATGTCAGACAGTTGTCTCCATCACCGTCGTTGTCTTAGCACCAAATGAGGGAGTACCTCTTTGGTGAACCGTGTCTCATTGCTCTGGTAAAGTTCAGGAGAACTGAAGCTGATATTATGCATGTTTACACACACACTTGTGTGTTTATAGCCATGCTAGTAGTCTGGTGATTTGGATTATAGGTCAGTCCACCACATTTGCTCAGACTACAACATCTTGAATTGCTGTGAAAATTGTTTTTTTTTTTAGACTTTCCCCGTTCTCAGAAGAAGAATACTCTTGAATAAAGTCAATGCAAAATCTCTAAACAAATCTACTACTATCTGACAGTGATTTGGCTCTGACCTCTTAAGTTGGGGTTTAAATATGACATATACTGGACTGTTTGCTAAACGTCAATGAAAATATTGTTGTTGACACTGTCACAAACCTACATCTGAGTCAGATAAAAGCTGATAGGATCCAGGATTGTAAAACAGCAGATGCAATCCATCTCTTTGCCCTGTAGGTCACCTTCGTTTACAGATGGTTATGAGGGATTTGACGACTTCTAAGAGCTAATCGTGAGCTGTGAGTGCATTCATTTGCTAGCTAGTCATCACAGGAGCACCGCTGGGAGCCCAGAATGCTACAGTATATTATGGATTGCGTTAGACCCTCAAAGACCTGAATACATCCAAAGCCTGCTGTAATGTGATTTGGAATTTAATTATTTTTAATCATTTTATTGCAATGGCCACACACAATCATCATTCCAGACAGTGACTTCTTTAGAATGCATTGTGGATTTATTTATGTTTTTAATGTCATAAAATGCACATAAAACCAAACAAGCAAAAATTAAATCTAATAAAGAAAGAGGTGGGGGGGGGGGGGGTTACATACCTTCTGACTTCATGTCCATGTACAGCCTACCAAATCTTTCTTTAGGGAGAACATTTTAAATACTACTTAAACTACGAACAGAGATCATAATGCTTCTGACACCAATAATGTTGTCCCTTGTTGACAGATGTTGTACTAATACAGTATGCAGACATCGGTTAACAGAGATGACAAACCTCTAACTCATGATCGAATAACTCACGATCCTTACAGGAAATTCAAAAAAGATAGCTTCCATAACTTGGCTGCAGTGCTATCAACAGATCTAAAATGTAATTCGTCCTACAGTTAAGTTATTGCAACAAAAAAACAACACACAATATGAAGAAAAAAAACTACATTGCCATCAGCCTGCAGCTTCACTGTGTGTTAAGTACTAATTGTCAAAGGTTAACACACTAATATTGCAGACTAATATTGCAGACATGTTAAATACTCGTCACATCCTTAGAATTTCAGTTCAAAGCTTCATAGTCTTTAGTGTGTATAGACTTGAAGTCTTGTTTAAAAGTCATTTATTTCCAGGCTGATATGATTTATAGGAAATTAAGATTATACACTGATGACTGAAATATATTTTATAGACCTATAGATACAGAAGTAGTTAATAATAAAGCAGATGAGTTATGAGCACACTAATCTGTTTTTACAATTTTATTGTAACACTATCAAATAAAACCAAACATAATAAACCATATGACAATAAAAAAACCATAAACTTCCTTATCCCCTCTCGTGCTGCCAAAACAAGCACATGTTTCTGACCTGTAGTCACCTGTTTCATAAACTGTACACGATCAAAGTCAATGAGAAGCATATATGATAAGTACACAGCTTATTTGATATAACCGCCTTGATTGTTTTGAGTTTCTGAAACTCAGCTGTAGATATTTTCTCAGCTGACCCCAGACCATTGCACTCTGACCGAATATTGACATTACCCTTAGTGTTAAATTGGTTTAATTTGCCCAAATAGTTTTCATGTAAGTTCACATTTGTGCCACCAAAAATGTACTTCAGCCAGAAAAAACAAGTGCCAGCTAAACAATAGCAGCCCCTATATCCAAGATTTAATGCTGCAACCCAAAATCCACTCTATTGTTCCAATGAGGCTTAATCACAGAAATGAATGATCAGAGAGAAAGTGAAAGCACATATACCGCTTCCCTGAACCAAAGGTGACACTATTTATATTGCTTGTTTTGTTTGATTAAAACCATTAACCCATGTATTCTTTTTTTTAAATTCTGAATTATTTGTGTTAGCGTTAGCAAAGACTGATGGTTTGGCTCTTAAATGGCTTTTACTTTGTAGTCAAAATTGTAGCCACCAAAAATATTTGCTTTTCTCCAAAGCCATGGGCTGTCAGCATCTATCCCTGATTGCATGTCCTAGCAAAACTTTTTCATCAGAGCAAATGACCGAAATCCAAACAATAAAAGTTGGTTTACTTCTCTTTTGGACACAGAAGAAGTGCAATTCTCCATTTATCCCCCACAGCCCCCCTTATATTTTGTCCTATGGATGCTAAATCTCAAGTGTGATAATAAGAGAAGACAGGGTGGAAGTCAACCTCACCAACACTCACTGAAGAGCACAGAGTTCTTGTACTAGACCTACTTGTACAGAAAGCTTTTGGGATATATTTTCCTGTGATTTTGATAAGCTAATGCAAAAGCTGTCCATGATTCACATTTGGATCTGATATGATGATGCGGTCAGCTGTGTTATGTTTCTTTATGTTGTCTTTCTGTATAATTTTAACATAGCTGAAGAATATGAACCAATAAAAAAAAAGGGTTTAAATTCACCCCTGAAAAATGTAGACGGTTAAACTTTACTCATTTATTGTTTTTGTAAAAGAATAACAAAGGGCAGGCTTGTGTCACTTTCGGCCCCAGAAGAAGTGCGGTTCTCCATTTTGTATTCCTAACTCTACTCCAATTTTGTTCCATCCAGTCTTAATCAAAGTTTGAAAGATGAGAGTAAATGGAGATAGTGCACCTCCCCTTCCCTCCCTCCCTCCCTCTCTCCTCTCTTTCTCTCTCCCTAACTCGCCCTCTCTATCTCTACAGCCACGAGCATCTGCCCAGAATTGAACAGATGTAGGCACCTGCGTTGTGGGCCCACATATGCGCACTTGCCCCCCCTCCCCAAACCCCCTTTCAACCTTCCCTGGGACCCGAAGCCCACCACAATGGGGAGAGATCAGGGATGCAGTAACCAAATACTGCCTATCCCCCCAGGACACTCGCTCTGTTTGAGGCATTGTCACCAGTTATATCAAGTGGCTGCACCAAACAATCTGCTGTATGACTGCTCATTTCAGACATAACATAATTCAGACGGACAGGGGCAGGGGGGTGGCGGGTGGGGTGTCTGTGGGGTGTACAGAGGTTGCTGCCTGGATAATTTCTATGGCTGTGATATGAAGTGGAGGGCGTTTTAAACAAGTGGGGCTCAGGTTTTCTTGCTGTTGGGGTTGGATTGAAATGAAACCAGACTTTGGGTAAGTGGCCGTTGGGTGGGTTTAAAGGTTTGGAGGGCCCAGGGGTGGCAGGTGCTAGCTGGGGTAGGAGGATGAAAGAGAGGCTTGTCGGAGCAGGGTTGGGTACAAGACCAGGTTACACATAAAAAGCCTTGTTTTTGTTCGAGAAAAGAGGACCAACAGCCCACCAGTAGAGAAATGGTGCATAATGGCGCCATAATAGCCCCCTGTCCCTATCTCTCAGCTGCCGCTCGAGGACAGAGGATCCACACGCACCTGTTGTAACCCCTATTGTGACCAGTTAGCATTAGCGCGCTACACCTCAGGAATGCTTCCAGTCCAGAGGCCGGGCTACTCGTCCCATGAGGGAGCTTAGCCACAGAGAAAAGGGGAGGGTGTCAGGAGTGTGCTGTGGGGGGGGGGGGGGGGGAATGGGAACCAGCAGGGAAGCTTTAGAGGACAAGACAAGGAGAAGGAGGGAGGTGGAGGTGGGAGGGTGCGTTCCTCCAAAGACAGTGTCCTCTCTCCTCCTCTCCAGGGGCCTGTCCAGAGAGCCCTGTCCTAAATCACTGGCCCCAGGGGGAAGGCACTCCTTTGTGAAGAGATGGCCCCTGCAAGCTGGGCCGCCAGCTGCCGCTGCTGCAGCGTCATGTGCACCCCCTTCCTCTTCCTCCTCCCTACTCACACACACACACACACACACACACACACACACACACACACACACACACCTCCTCCCCGTATCCCCTCCACTTTCAGCACCATGACAATGCTTCCTGCGACCTGGGCCACAGGCCAGAAGAGCATTAAAAAAGAAGTTGGAGGAGACTCTTGAGAAAGGCCAAAGCAGAGCAACATGTTTTTAGGCCGAACATTAATGATGACAAACTTGAAGCAGGGTGATGGTGCACGACACGCTAACCCTGGACGACTCTGAATCACACCTCTGAATCACAGCTCTGAATCACAGCTCTGAATCACAGCCGTGAATGAGAGCAAGAAAGATCGTAATTGGTGTGTTATGGAATAAACTTACCATGATTCAAAAGAAATCTTGATAGCAGATGTTGCTGCTCTAAAGAGGCTCCCGCCCGTGCTGCAAAATCAATTCTTTCAAGTCAAAGGTGGTTTCAAAAGTATTTTTTCAAGGAAACAAAACTTGATTGCCGATACTAGACTCGAGTGTTCACATATTCCTATTTGTTGACCTCAAAGGTACTCAATCAAGTCTGCAAACGTCCTTCGAATGTTCTGAATGAAAAGAGAATTGAAAGGTTTTTCTTTCACTTGTCACCAACACACTATCTACACTGAAGACAGTTTTATGGCTTAGAAAAACAAATCCAGACTTCAACCTTTAGAATCAACCCATAAAAATAGCAGAGTTCATCTTACATACCGTTCACACTGATTTTATCAAGTCAGATTCATTTTGGCCTCCAGCAGTTGAGATGTGTACACTCAGAATATATTTTAGCTAATGGCATATATTTTGTTTATTTCTACAATGTCTAAAGTGATTGTAATCTAATCCATAGAGGAAAAAGTAACAGCAATTTTCCTTGAGATGAATTTATTGCCAAGCATGGGGATTTCTGATGTACACCATTCTTTCCTGAGGTTATTTCCTCATTTGATGTTTTAACGATGAAATGCGGTGGAACATTTGATCAACCTAGAAACAGGTAGAAGTGGTGTTGAGTCAAATCAGCAATTATTATGTAAACTCTTGGCTTTATTATAATTAAAAGAGATGAGTTATAGAAACAAATGTACAGTGTACATACATGAAAAAAATTTTTTTAGATCAAAACTGGTTCTGAGACCAGGCTGTAAACATGTTTATTTTTTGCTTCAAAAATTTTAACACGGGTGGAATTCTTGGGGCTGTATTTACAGTCACAGTACAGTTTAGTACAAAGAGTTGCTCCTAGTGACAAGAAGCTGCACAAGTGGGCATGTGATTTCAAACCCTTTGTAGGCTGTAGACTTTTAAAGCACATCTTACAAATGATCATACGGGTGCTAATGTCATAGTGTTCATAATTACACAATATCTGAATAGATTCTGTGATAGACTTTTTTTCCACCTGTTTTTTGGATTAACCAATAACAGCTTTTGAAAAAATGTCATACCAACGGGGTCAACCATGCCTCCTCACTAAGACTACCTACCTACCATCCTACCTATCATATTCCAAAATTAACAAACCCATAAAGAATTGTTTTAATTAGCATTGTGTCTGAATTTGCAGCCTGTTTCTCATAATGGAAATCTGCAAATGTTTAGGACAGTTGTGCTTGTCCTTGTGGTTCAACACTCCTGGATGGTGAATAATCCAACATTTGGATGACATAATGAACCCAATGATTTTCTTGGCAGGTGCACGTAAGTGTGCACATCATACTAAATCCATATATTTACTAACAGAAGTATCCAAATGGAGACACAGCACCAGTCCTGGAGGTTGTCGGTGTCATTATATTGGTGATTGAATCTTTCTTTCACAATGGATAGGCTGTGCTCTGTCACCAGACAAAACTGTTGCAGAGTCACTAAATCGACACATTCTATCAGACTTTTTTATGCTCTTATTGATTTCATCCTCCACTACTGGTAGAAGATTTCATCCCATCCATAGCTGAGGCAGGCGTGCTCCATTGTGCAGTTTCTAATGATCATTGTAATGATGGCTTGTCCATCTTTGATAAGAAACAGCACGCCCCTCATTAAAGGGCCCAGGGCCCCGGTTCTCATGGCTGCCGGTCGGTCCCCGCAGTCAGACAGCAGGCGAGGGCGGCGAGACGACACCCGCGGCACACGCCTGTTGACCGAGCCACAAAGCAAAAGCGTGTGACACTCGCCCCACCCCCGCCAATCCTATTGTCCTCCCCGTGGGTCCCACAGACAAGACCAACCCTGTTACCACCCCCCCCCCTTCCTCCCACACCCCCCTCATCCTTGCAAGCCATGAAAAACCACAACACACACTTGTACTGCCTTGTCACACACACACACACACACACACACACACACACACACACACACACACAAATACAAACACACACTCCCTTTCATTGCCTCTCTCCCCTTCACAATCAATTTTACCAATCAGCTGATCTCTCTCTTTTCTCACACGTCCACCAGGGGTTGCCCCTCATCCCTCCTTCTCCTCCCCCCATCCTCCTGCCTCACCTCCCCCATGTGCCATCAGCTGCTATGCAAGGTGGAAATCCATCATTGTGTGTAAAGAAGGTGCTCCAGCATGCTGCTTAGCCATTACCATACCCACATACACTCTTGTGTGGGGTGTGGGGGTTGGGGGGCGGGGGCGGGGGGTTGTTTGGTCCAGGAGGGTTTTTTTTCTGATTATTCGTGTGTATGTATGAGTGTATGTGTATTTATATGTGTGGCGGTGGTGGTGTTGGGGGGGGGGGCTCTAATTCACTGATTCACATGCAGACAGTATTTCTTGGAGGAGGGTGTGGCAGGTGGGTGCGGTCTGGCTTTTTTAGTTTAGGGATGCTGGTTGATGGCGGTGATGTAGGATGGAGGAGTGAAGAGGAGGAGGGAGGCAGAGGAAAGGAGGGGGTTGATGATGAGGAAGGAGGAGGAGGAGGAGGGGGTTGCTGCGGCTGCCGGGGTCAGGCCTGTGTGTCCTGGGAAAGTTGGGTTCTCCATTTAAATCTGCACATGTTGCGGCCTTCTGGTGGCTGCGTGAATGCGCATGGTGACAGATGGCCCCGGCCCATAACTATAGAGTCCGAGCAGCCCGGTCCCCCGAGGGAAGGAGAGGAGGAAGAGAGAGAGAGAGAGAGAGAGAGGGTGCAGGGGAGGAAGAGGAGAATGTCGCCCTCAGCTGATCCCATCAATAAAGAGATGAGAGAAGGAGGAAAAGCAGAAGACGAGGAGGAGGGTCATCGGTGTGTGTGTGTTTTTTATCTACATGCATGTGTTTTAGAATGGGGGAGGGATGGGGGTCTTAATCCCAAACTCTAAATTGAGTTAGTGTATTTGCCTGGTCTGCAAACTCCAATAGGAGGCCTGGGGTCCCCAAAGATTCTGATTAGGTGTCTAGTTTATCAGATGTTGGAGCAGGAGGAGGAGGAGGAGGTAGACTGTTTGTACATGAGAAGAATAGCAGCATTGTATGTTCTCTGTGTGTGTGTGTATGTGCTTCTGTGTGCATGTGTGTGTGCAGACATGGTTTATGTGTTTTTGGGTTTTGTGCCAGCTCTGTTAACAGAGCTGCCCGATGTCTCCATTGACAGAGCAGGAAGATCTCTGACTCTTCATTAATCCTGTTAAGCAGTGATGTCATCGCCTGGTTAAAGATTATTTTCAGCAGATTTTAAAACCCGGAGACGTTGTGCCTTTTGAACAGTTCCTCTATCTTTATGAGGAACAACTTCAGTTTTAACATGTAGAGTGAGGACAATCCTGTTGCAAAGTTCGTACAGATTTTTATAAGAAATTTGCAAACTTTTTTAAAAATTTCAACAAATTTATATATTCATCGCCGCAACAATCACAGAAAAGGGCAATGAAATCCTGGAGGGTCTCGTAAATGCTTACTGAGCGTTAAGACAAGGTTAGAGTGAGTATTACTATATGTGAAGATTAAAAAGTTGGACGATATCCCATTGTAATACTTGTATGCTTTATCACGACATGCCTGTTATATGTTAGTTATGAAATCATAACATAGGGTGAAGCAAAAACTTTTTTGAGGGAGCTGTTTTGGCATTTTTGCCAAATGCCTCTATGTCATGCTTTACTTTTTGAGTGACATGTTGTAAATATTTTGTTAGACAGGTTGATAAACCCTTTATAGTGTAAAATGTTAAGATTAGACTCCTTTCAGTAGAGGGAAATTGTAGGTGTTATGAAAGGGATTATGGCAAGCTTTATATTATATGTTCAGCATTGTTCCGCACTTCCATAAGCCTTGTTTCCTCTTAAGCCCCTTTCAGAGTGCGACTCTGCAACAGCGCCTTATAGAAGCTCGTCCATCATCATGTCTTTGTCATTCATATTGAATTCGGCAACAGTGTGATATTGGTGCCCCAGTCTGTGAGTTCACATTGCCAAAGGTGCTGCATAGGCACAATGTGTAGAATAGTGAGAGCTCCACATACACACTCAGACCTGCACACACACAGCGCTGTTCTCCCCTGCTGTCTCTGCAATCCTGTCTCTGTAACACCTCTGTTACCCTTGGAGTGGCACAAAGGTGGGATCAGTGACGTTCATTTTGAAGGCCAAACTACACGGACGTTGGCCTTAAACAGGCATAAAAGGGCTTTCGTCTCACGAAGGTTCTAAGAGTAAGTATGAGAGAGAAACAAGCCCTTTTGTGCAAAATTGCTGTATCTTGGGGCGCAGGTGGCCTAGTGCTTAGTACGCGTGCACCATGCATGGGGGCTGTGGTCCACAAGGTGGCAGCCCATGTTTGAATCTGGCTTGTGACTCCTTTCCTACATGTCACTCCCCACCTTTTCTTGCTCTTCTGAAACAGTCTCACTCTCGCCTCTGTAACGCCTCTGATACTACCACCAAAGACGGTACAAAGGGCGTTTTTTTACCCCATTATGCCTACGGGACATTCAGATTGAATGTGTAACGTCACAGGGGCGTAAATATTGCGGTTTGAAACGACAGTTTGAATAGGGCTATGGTGTAACTGTGTTATTTCTCCTCAACTAAAGTTGTTGTTTCTAGTGGCTGAAGAAAAATTGTCACAAATACAATCTGGAGGAGTTTGCAGGGATCGGTGTCAGACCCACTGCACTACAACCCGTGTCTGTTCTCTTTCATTAGATGTCGAATACGAATTATTTGCAACAGCCATTGACTAAATATAGAGATGGAAAATATGTTTCCATTTCATTTGAGTCTTTTCCGAAAACAAGGCGTGAAATTAATGTTTTATCCCTTCCGATGAAACATCAAAGATCGCTCAGGTGGGTACAGTTCACAGCAGAACAGATCCTTGCCTCGGTTTGAAACAGACACTCGAGGTTATGGAACATTCAGTATTTGTTACGTGTCTCACCGTTCCTCCTCTATTCTGCTTATACAGTGCACACAGCACAGCAGGAGCCACCTTTGTCAAAAGAGCTGTCAATCACGCCCTTTTCATAGCATTGAATAACTTATGAACTAACATTCTTGGAAGAGCGAACACTTACGCATAAATCAGCATGATAAGAACTAACTATACTGACAGGAAACCAAGTTTGACAAAAAAAATATTTTTGACGTGTATTATGATTTATAGGTTGACTCATGTCCCATCTGTTAAGATGGAGGAGGCGGGGCTTATGACCTACCCTGCAGCCAGTAAGTAGGGGGAGCTCCAAATGTTTTGGTCTCACTTTTGGGAAGCTGTCATGTTGTCCATCTCTTTATACAGTTTATAGTCACAGCCCTTAGCTTCTCATAAGACACAATGTGGCCTTTAGCATCTACATTCAACAGAACTTTAACAAACTGTGACATCAATGCTTTCAGAAGATTCTTGGATGCTAACTCTAACTTCTTTTAGTGACGTAGTAGGAAGACCCAGATATCTCTTTTGGAACCATATGAAAATGTTTTGCAGTTTTAACCTACCCCATGTTAACCCTGTTGTTTTTGTTATCCTAACAATAGGAATGTAGTAAGCAGGTGACAACTGATGGCCAGTCACCTGATAATTCCTTTACACTGGGCCTACGCACAATTACAGACAACGATATTGCATTGTGTGTGTGTGTGTGTGTGTGTGTGTGTGCGTGCGTGCGTGCGCACGTCCGTGTGTGTGTGCGTGACAGAGAGAGAGAGAAGACGTCCTGTTCTTGTTGTTGGTGCGCATGGTCTCACTCCCACTCAGTGGTGTTTTTGGTGCTGATCTATGCATGGCAACACATTATGCCTCCCACACACACACATTCACAGACACACAATCTTTATATGTTGTCTTTGTGCAGCTTCCTGAGGGAAGTGCAACCACATGAAGGTACTGGCTGTTTTTTTTTTTGTCATTAATCATTCGAGAGACTGAAAGAAACGAAAAGGAGAGTCTGATTATTTGCTGAACACACTAATACCACTATTTTCAAATATTCAAAATTGACATTAAAAGTATAATTTGTAAAACTTTTTTTTAATTCTTCATTCTTAAATATTATTTGAGTTATTTCCTCAATTTTTCTTTCCTAACAGAAGAATGCTGAACATAGTAAGGCTGTTAACAATGGGGAAAAAACAGCACTCAAGTTGATTTCTTTTTAAAACAGACACATTTGGGAATGATTTAGATGTATTCTCTATTTTAGTTTAGTCAAGGTTTATTGACATTTTTTTCTCCTTGCAGCCTCCTCTCTCCTCTTTTGATGTTTTAATCTGTTTCCAGCTCCAGACCTCTCTCTCTCTCTCTCTCTCTCTCTCTCACTCACTCTCCCTCTCTCTCTTGCGGTTCTGGTGATGATTCATGCTGCATCTCCTCCTTCAGTCTCCGCAGTTGACGGGATTACACCACTAGGGGGTGTTCATCTTTCATGTCATCTCTACAGTATGTCCCTCTTTACTTTTTTTATGTAGAGGACCCCTAAACTGACCCTTGTTTAAAAGTGAAACCCATCTGATTTAGTTTTTTGTTCTTTGGTGTTTTATTATGGTAAGTGTATGAACATTATGACCAAAATAGTAAATTATTCAGTTTTTGTGATAAATATTGATGGTATATTGAGAACAAAATATTGCCGAATTTTTATATATGAATGTATCGTAAAAAACATGCATCGAATATTTAGAGGATTAATTCCAATAAATAATGAATAATGGGGACAAAGACATAAAAGAAAGTAATGTGTTTATGAAATAATTGTATTCATACGCATTTGTTTCCCCCCCTCTATTTTTCTAGCATTTATTTACTTTTTTGGTGTAGTTCATTTATTTTTATTTAAAAGCTGTGTTGTCAGACAGCTGTTGTAAGAAATCCTTCTTCTTCTTCTTCTTTGCATTAACATAAATGCAATGCATTACATTACACTACTGAAGTAGTTGTATTTCCATTTTTATTAGACCAAAGCTGGAGACACACTAGCCTATATGGCTGACTAAATGGGATAAAGCTGTCCAGAAAGCTCAGTTGATTTCACTTGGAAAGCTGCTGAGCTTCATATGGTGCTGTGCACGGTAAGCCTCTTAGGAATCACGACCACAGCAGATGTAGCGAGAATGCCAATCAGGAGCTCCTGCTGAGAGGAGAAACTCGCCGGCTGTGCCACTGCGCGACTCAATTCTGCCAAAGCGCAAAAGACACAGTCCTAAATATATTGTTTGGCGCTTCCTGTTTGCACTTCACAAACCTTGACCTGCTGCAGACATACGTGAGCTGTCAATGAGAGCATGTAGAGCGCAAAGTCTCCAAAGAATCTGAACCGTCAGACAGCTACAACAAATCCTCCCGCTCGCAGAGCCATGCTTCCGCAGGATGTCGGGATGCAGAAGCCACGGCGTGTGTCAGAGCCTCTGTGCCGGGTGGACACCCCCGCGGTCCCGCCTCGGCTCTTAAAGAACCGGGAGTTCCCTCTGGCCGTGAAGCGGCGGCGGTCAGGTTCCGCACCTGAGCGCAAGGTGAACTGCGTCCTGGTTGGAGATGGAGCTGTGGGCAAGACGAGCCTGATCGTGAGCTACACCACCAACGGCTACCCAACAGATTATGTTCCTACAGCGTTTGACAACTTCACAGGTAAACTAACAATGGAGATTAGAGTTGGAGTTACGCACAAGTTTTACTCAAACCTGGGAGTTTACATTTATTGAATCTGTTTGGTTTATTCGCTTATATGCCAAATGCCTGTATGTTGTGTTTTATTCCCTACATTTCATCAATGGTGAGGAATGTGAATGCCAATTCGGCTGATTGTCTAAAACGTATGGGTTGCATTGTTTTTCTTCTCAGTGATGGTTGTTGTTGACGGAAAACCTGTGAGACTGCAGCTCTGTGACATGGCTGGACAGGTAAGCTGCGCCTTTGACCCTTTCTTTGAGTTAAAAGCCGATATAATCGTAGATAGTATTTAACAAACCTGAACATATGATCGCTGTATGAAAAGTGCATGCATTCAATCACATTTTGTTTTGCAAATTTTCGCCTTCTTTCTGCTCAATCGTGGTAGAAATGGGGTCTGGTTGATGGATCAATCAATGTAAGTCATTAGTGATCAATAGTCCATATTTTCACTTGTTGGTAGTCCTTGCTGTGTTTGTGTTTGTTGCCCCCTGCAGCTTGCTTTAAGCCCTGAACGGAAATCCAGAAAGACCCGTTTAGTTTTTACCACCCCACTGTGCAAAGTAGCCATAACTCCACAGTTTATAGCGCCTCCTGGAGGATTTAACGGAGACTGTAATTCATCAGCTTAGAAGCCACCCCTGCCATCCTGCAGCTCCAATGCCCCCCTTAAGTTCTACAATTGGTACTATTGGTTAAGTGTTAAGGGTAAAGTGTTAAAAAATTCCATTTAAGGACTTGCTATCAAAAATCCTGTTTACCTGATTCTTTTTTAATCAAAAAGAGAATTTATTTACATTGTTTCCAAATACAACACAACCAATCTTTCTTTTTCTGAATTTTTGTGAGTTATTTTGTATGTTTAAAAGACACCATATATTAAAATTGAGAGCTTACATTTGATTTAAAATTAATTTGCAATGTAGAAAACCATTTTAGGTCTCTCAGGCATTTTCTTTCTGTAAATAAAACTATTAAGTTAAGTCAGTTGTACCAGATTGATTCTGAGCTATTACAAAGGCAGCTCTTTAAGGAATTCACTGTAAATGAGCCGCATGTTGGTGAGATGATGGTAAAGACTCACAAACACATTGTTCTTACCTCTTCTCTTTGTTTCTTAAAGGACGAGCTGGAGCGCCTCCGCCCGCTCTGCTACAAGAATGCAAATGTCTTCCTCCTCTGCTACAGCGTGGTCCGCCCCTGCTCTTTTCGCAACCTGATTGACAGGTGGGTCCCTGAGATCCAACAGCACTGTCCTGGAGTGCCCGTGGTCCTTGTGGGCACACAGCTGGACCTTAGGGAGGATGTCCAGGTGCTGATCAACCTGGCACAGATACAGGAGCGTCCGGTCAGCTCTGAGGAGGGTATGCAGCTCGCCCAGGAGCTTGGGGCGGTGAGCTTTGCAGAGTGTTCGGCGCTGACCCAGAAGAACCTGAAGGACACATTTGATTCAGCAATCTTAGCCAGCATTGGGCAGACCGACATTTGCAGTGTCCAGCAGCAGAGGATGACTCTCAGGAAGAAGACCCCTGATAAAATCAAGAGCCTTTCTGAGACCTGGTGGAGGAGGATCAACTGTCTTATGGGAGAGCAGAGCTGTGACTTCAAATGAACAGCTGCATAATGTCAAACCTGGGTCAGATCATGAGTGCGGATATTTGGATCCATAAGGTTCCCAGATGGGTGGGGATCATTGCTACACAGGACAGCACTTCAAGTTTCAGAAAGAGTTCAGAAATAATTTATATATATTCACTGGATCTGCATATAGACAAAGAATCTGTATTTATTTGACATGACTCAGGCTTTGGATTGTTGGGGTTTTTGTTTGTATTGTCTAAGTTGTATTGTCTATCAGCATTTCAGATGGCTTTGCCTGTTTGTAGAAAAACTGTCCTTGTAGGGAGCATAAGATTTGGCATGCAATACATTTGAACATAATCCTCATTCCTATCAGTGATCATCTGACAACAATTTAGCTTCAACTCATCGCTCCAAAAAAAACATCTGCATGCAAGTTTACCTAACAAACAAGAGCAATGCACACTTACATTACGTTAGCTGTCTTCTTTTAATGTTAATTGGCACACCAGCTTTGTGGTGAAACTTTGTCACAAGTACAAAATGATTTGACTTACTACGAAATAATTTGATTGTTTGAAAAGGAGGAGGATAACCCCACCAACCTCCAAGAAGTTATACCAATCCTGAAATAAATCCAGACCCAGGTTTGGTTTGGTGTAATGCTTTGAATCTGACTGTCCAACAGTCTAAAGGAGATTTTAACTTTGATTGTGTCTTAAAGTATGTTGTCACTTTTCATCCTAACAGCACTAGAACTGTGATTGAATGTTAGTTTATAGGTTATTTATTTATTTATTTATTTATTTATTTATTTATTTATCTATTTATCTATTTATCTATTTATTTATTTATTTACATTTTCTCTATGCCATTCATTGCTGATCATGGAACATGCTCAGAAGCCTTGATTAAAATTTCTAACAACTGAATACTGTTTACAATCATTTCAGTCAAGAAAAGAACATTGGAATGCTGTAAATCTGTTTATATCTGATCGAAGGAAAAACAATTTCTTTTGAAGATAAAATATGCAAAGACTTGATCAGTGTTCACCTGCTTCTGCAAGAATTCATGCTCTTTATCCTTCAATAGCTGGAACACAACATGTTGTCAGGGTAATCTGGATCAAGTGTCATTGATTGTCTCATCTCAGCTCCCTGATCCTCCTGACCCAGACCAGCCTGACATAGTAGGCCTTGTGTGAACAAAAAAAAAGAAACATTAACTGTGTCAACATTTTGTACACAGACAGTTAGAAGCAGAGTGATGCGTAGGATTTGGTGGTAAGAGAGGTATCAACACTTTGCTCAGCTTTGCTCTCTGACTCAGTGGCAGCCTGGTGAGGGCGCGTCAGGTCACAGCCTCCTCTAATAGGAGCAGACAGGACCACCTGGATTGGATTAGACCAACATATGGAGCCTGATCTTCTACCCACAGATGTATTACACCTTTCACCCAGGCAGAAGATGTAGATTCCTCCACATTTAAGGTTGCACTCATGTTAGTCATGGAAAGAAAAAGTTATAACACTTCATAAACTATTTATAGAATTACTTAACATGTACACAAATTCAAGGTGTCACACTGATTTACTTTCATTCCCTGCAGATTTACCCCAATCTAAACCATAACCACTACATATCCAACCCAAGTCCTTCCTTAAATGTACACTTAAATAAAGTCTTAATCTCAAAATTAAATGATTGCACTTAAGGACCCAAAAGAGATGGGTCCCTATGGGTACTGTCTCTACACAGTGCCCACACAGTGTTTATATAACATTGTATAATCCCATAAGAAAAGTGGTACGGCCCAAGAGTAAGTGCTAAAATGACAACAAAAAAAGTCCTCCCTGGAGACTTATCCCAAACTTAACCATTACATGTCTACTTTTCCTTACAAGTGATGCCTTCTGGTTTATAGTCTTAAATTATGGATGTGTCATTTTTTGACACGTAATCAAGGAACTCAATAACCTGGATGAGTAAAAGTACAATCATGGCACAACATATTCAAACTGTATCTAGAGCAGATGTAAGAACCACCTCATAATAAGAGCCAAACAATATCATAGAATCATATATTCATTCAAGACACTGAACGTTAGGCTTAGCAGGTGTTCTCACTTAACCTGGCCTGGAACCAGCTCAACAGACTTTACAGACAGGTGCTGTTGCCTCTCTGGCTTCTTACACTGATCTCCTGAGGACTTTCTGTCACGCTAGTACTGTCAATGTTTTACACACGGAAGATCTCTCTGACTACACAAAAAGACACATGCCTTACATGCAGACATAGAGGAGTTACTTTCCAGTTCTTTAATTATTTTTCATTTCAGCATGCGCTCATGGTTCTATTTGAAATATACATTGAGCTGTATAGACAAAAACCGCTCCAGAACAAAATCAATTGGTGCTCTGGAGCCTTTGTCTGCCACATGAAAACTTTACAATTAAGGAATCAATCTGCAGGCACTCCTTGTTCTGCAGAGAAATCCACTCCTAATTCTATCCAAAGATAGTGTGAGGCTCTCTTGTGGATACTTAAATTAATTAATATTTGTAGTTGTCTTAATATGTTAGGTACATTTCCTTCCACAATTTATATATGTATTTTTAATACTTATTTATTTCACACAAGAATATAAAATACAAGGCACACTGTGGAAATACGTATAAAAGCATGCAACGTTCTTTGAAATGAAACTCTGAAGTGGCTTTGATTTTTGTCCATGCAGCTAGTGTGGTTTAAACTGGCTGCATGGAAATATAAAACAAGATTAAAACAACTTTATTCATCCCAGATAAAAAACAAGCATAAAGTCAACCGTGGCATCCAGACATTTTCGTGATGTCATGATGAGCAGATCATAAAGATTTACAAACCACAATTCTGAATAATTAATAAATAATAATACAAATCCTTACAATAGAAGTTGAAAGGTCCTATCCTGTAAGTTAATTACTGCTGTCAGCATTTAGCTGCCTGATAGAAAAAGGAATAAATTGGAGTTATAGTGTCTGTGGAGCTAAATGACAATTGTTTGTTACAGGGAGAAGAGTGTTGCTTCTCTTCTCACTTTGTGCAGAGTGTGATAGACACTGCATAAACATGCAGCACATTGAGGCGTGGGCTGTTATTTAATACTGCTATGAGACATTTAGATAACTCATTTCACCAAAGGGCCCTCCATACGGGACTGTCTTCTTAACACCTAGGGACTGTAATATTGTAAAATGTGCTGGTTGCTTCCTCTTGTTTTAGAGAATGTCAAGGGAGCTATAGTTGTGTCGATAACAAACACAATAATGGGCTTTTGTATAACAACGATAGAATCTAACACATCTGCATCTCTTGATTTTATTTTATTTAGAAGAATACTTATTAGTTATCATCCCCTGCATTTACAATTCTACAATTCTACAATTCACTTAGCAGACGCTTTTATCCAAAGCGACGTACATCCGAGAGTAAGTACAACACAAGCAAGGAGCTAGAAAAAAGGGAACAATGTCAGTAAGAGCAAACGATCAGCTTTGAGTCTGATTGGACACACAGGTGCTGACAGGAAGTGACCAGAGGCAAAGCACAACATTGACGGCAGTTCTTGAGAGCTCTAATCAGTATAGAAACCATCTTATAAGTCGTCGTTTATCAAACAAAAACCATCGTCACAACTATCATCATCATCATCATCATCAATAATATGGAGACCATCATCATTAAGTTAGTAGGTATTCATGAAAGAGCTAGGTCTTTAGCTTTTTCTTAAAGGTGCAGAGGGACTCTGCAGATCCAATGGAGTTTGGAAGTTCATTCCACCACCGGGGGGCAACAGAGGAGAAGAGTCTAGTCAGAGACTGTTGTGAAGGTTGGATCAGGCGCCTTTCATTGGCAGAGCGTAATGGGCGGGAGGGAGTGTAGACCTGGATGAGAGAGTTAAAGTAAGGAGGAGCCGTTTTTGTTGCTGTTTTGTAAGTGAGCAGCAGAGTTTTAAATTTGATGCGAACAGTAACTGGGAGCCAGTGTAAGGAGATGAACAGCAGAGTGACGTGCTCTTTTAGGAAGGTTGAAGACCAGTTGTGCTGCTGCATTTTGTATCATCTGCAGGGGTTTGATAGTGTATGTAGGAAGACCTGCCAGTAGAGAGTTGCAATAATCAATGCGTGATATCTCAAGAGCCTGTACCAGGAGCTGTGTAGCATGTTCTGACAGGTAAGGTCTGATCTTCCTGATGTTGTACAGGGCAATCGAGGCTACTTGAACCTTAAAAGTTAGCTGGTCATCAATCATGACACCTAGGTTCCGGGCAGACTCTGTGGGCATGAGTTTGGTTCTTCCAAGCTGGATATTGATCTGTGGTTGCATAGAGGGACTGGATGGGATGACAAGGAGCTCAGTCTTTGAAAGATTTATTTGAAGGTGCTGTTCATTCATCCATTTAGAGCTATCAGCAAGGCATGATGAGATTCTTGCAGAGACTGTAACATCGTCTGGCGGGAATGACAGGAAGAGCTGGGTATCGTCAGCATAGCAGTGATATGAGAAGCCATGAGAGCGGATTATTGAACCAAGTGAGCTTGTGTATATGGAGAAGAGAAGGGGACCAAGCACTGAACCTTGAGGTACCCCTGTGGATAAGCTGTGCGCTTTGGACACTTCTCCCTTCCACAACACTCTAAAGGATCGCCCAGAGAGATAGGACACGAACCTGCAGGAGGCTTGATGGTATTGGGTCCAGAGGACAGGTGGTGGGCTGAGAGTCTAGCACAAGCTTAGAGACTTAATCCTCAGTCAGAGAGGAGAATGAGTCGAGTGAGGCACTTTTGTTTGGTGCCTTTGGGCTGAGTTGGTCAGGCTCAGAAAACTGGTTACTGATGGTTGCAACCTTTTCAGTAAAATATGAGGCAAACATGTCTGGTGTGAACAGATCAGAGGGTGGAGGAGGAGGTGGTTGAAGCAGTGAGTTAAAAGCAGAAAACATTTTTTCTTGTATCTGTGGCATTGCATATCTTCTTCTGATAATATGTTGTCTTGGCCGTTTTCAGGCTGGAGGAGAATGAGACAAGTCTTTGCTTATAGTCATTGAGGTCAGCGGACTGTTTGGAGTTTTGCCATTTTCTCTCTGCTGACCTCAACCCTGCTCTTTGCTCTCTTATGACTTCTGAGAGCCATGGGCTAGGGTGGGTTTTGCGAGCGGGTTTGGACACCAGAGGGCAGAGCTTGTTCAGAGATGAGGCTAGTGTGGAGCAGAGTATGTCTGTAGAGAGTGTGGTAAAGACCTTGGCATGGAAGCCATTACCTCGTTAGACAGCTGAGGTGGCTTGAGCGATCGCATGTTTTGGTGGTATGGCACCATTTGTGGGTGTGCCTGAGGGAGTTCAAGCAAGGAGATTGTGAATTAAATAAAGAAGTGGTCTCACAGATGCAGAGGGACGACAGTCAGGTTTGCTGTCGAGCAGTTCCGAGTCAGGATTAAATCAAGAGTGTTGCCAGCTTTGTGGGTAGGAAGAGTTGGGACCTGCGTGAGGTCAAATGAGGACAGGAGAGCAAGGAAGTCTGTTAACAGTGTGTATATTTATGTCTTCCATTACAATCAGTGGTGTTCCATCATCAGGGATTTCTGAGAGTAGCATGTCCAGTTCCACAACAAAATCATTCAGATTACACCCTGGTGGGCGGTAAATGATAGCAATGTACATTTTAATAGGAGCAGTAACCAAGATTGTGTGATATTCAAATGAGGAGTTGTTGCTCAGTGGGAAGAGTTTATTGAATTTCCAGGTATTAGAAATGAAGATACCTGTACCACCTCCACATCCAACAGAGCGGGGTGTGTGTGAGAACATTGTGTCAACAGAAAGAGCAGCTGGTGTGACTGTGTTTTCTGGGCGGATCCAAGTTTCAGGAAGGGCAAGTGCCTGAATGTCCGACATTTTTGCAAGTGCTTGGATGAATTCAGTTTTATTCACAGCAGATTGACAGTTCCAGAGGCCAAAAGTAAATGAAGGGTGGGTAGAAGAGGCTTTCTTAAGCAGAGACAAGTTGTTAAGATTGCGTTGTCTATGACAGATGTGTCTTTTCCTGTTCACATGAATGACAGAGATTTCTTTGTAGCACATGTTGCGTTTAGCAGATGACCAGAGAAAATAGGCAAAGCAGTAGTCGTGGATGCCCGGGCTCTGGCCACGCTGAAGCGTCAGACGCTTTCAGCTGGCAGTTTCGGATTCAGACTCTTTTAAGCTTGGATTTTTGTGAAAATCCCGCCCCAGATTTTCAGCTTGCAATCAACAGAGGGTGTGACGCGCATCAACTGCCTCTCCTGTTGATGCTCAGAGAATGAAACTTAAGTACTCAGTCCAAACAAAGCCACTATAAATGACCCACTATAAATATCTACTCAAAGCAAGTTTCGATTCACCCACCTAGCTGACAAGACCTTCCTAGTTTTCAGATCAGAGCTTGTTCATTTGGTGTGACAGAAGTATTTTATATGAATCAATGTATTTGCAAATAAAGACAATAACTGTAGGCCTATAAATTGAAGTAGCCTTTGGCTTCAGAAGGTACAACCTGTGTTGAAGTGAACCTTCATTTAACTACAATGTCCAGCAGAGGGCACACCCACTGTTTGGAAAAATAAGTAAACATTGTGTGAATCCCTGAGCCTTCTAAAGTGCCATGAGAGGTTCATTTAGTCTTTTTATAGTCCAATTGAGAGAAAAATAGGAAATAAAGAAGGGTATGCTTTCGGGAGTGAATTCTTGTGACGGCTTAATATCAGAAGATCCATACATTGTCCCGAATCCCCCTGGGGTTATCAAAATATTTATTTGAAAATAACAGAATTGCAAATAAATGACCAAACACCTGACCAGCAGGACAAGACCTTAATATTTACAGTCTATGGACAAGACCCAGAATTGTTTTTTTTTTACTATTCTTTTTCTAAAGAGGTTTGTTGATAATTAGATTTCACTGAAACAAAAAATATAGATGATGCCTACCTACTATAACTTATCAGTACTCAATGCTGGCTTAAGTTTAACATATTTGAACTCACCACTCCCAAGTGCCAACTCATTATTCTCAGTGAGAGAAGAAATTGAAACACACTGTAGTGGATGAATTACAAGTTTGTCAACATGTTACATCTTATAGCTTCATTATAGCAGAACCGTGAGCAGAATGCAACAATAAAGTTGAATTCAATTTCTACTTTCACTGCTCCATTATGTCTATTGTTGTGAGTTCTTCCCAAAGAAAGAAAGATAATAACGATTGGGGAGGGTGGACAGTAAAGAGGCTGTAAAATTGAGATGTGTGCAAATCTATTTACAGTCTGTGGTGTAAATGTAAAACAAAAAAGAAAAAAAAATGAGGTAACTACGGTAAAATTCCAAGTTTTCTGTTAATTGTTTATATACAGATTGATTCAGCAAGGTTCATTTTCTTTTTAGCCTTCAGATGTTGTTTTCCTCTGGACACAGCTAGTGAATTCAAACCGACCAATCACTGTGAGGGACATGCAAATTGAAGTCGACAAACCACGCCCACATCCGACAAACTACCAATCGCTGATGCGATGGGCGGGGCTTACATGGTAACAGCGGAGGATTCAAACGGAACATGGCTGCAGGCACAGATGTCGATGAAAACACAAAAAATACAAGGTAAGAACATATTGTGAATGGTTTTTTTTGACGGTACTTTGATGGATATTAATTAAGTTTTACTCATAGCTCACTCTGTACTCGACGGATTTTAAAGTAAAAAAAGAAAGAGCGACAAGTTAAAGAAGCTACCAAGTTCTGTCAATCAGGCGTCAAGACGAGTCCTCTAGCTAAGCTAACATTAGCTGCTCAACCTTACCCTAACAAAACATTACAGATATTCAGCTGCAACTTGGTCGCTTGACACATATTTGTCTGAAATGAAAGTGTCTTTTTCGTAAGCACGTATAACAAACTATAGGGCAGGTTTGCAAAAACTAGATATTATCTTAATAGCTTAATTAAATGTTAGTCTGGCGTACTTTGAGTCAGTGTTTCTTAATTAACCTTCAATGTTTCTCAACTCGAATACCATTTTGAAAAGGCGTGAATATAAAACGTAACATTAATTGCTCTGCAGTAAATCCTGCATTTGATTGGATTAAAATGTCCAATCTGTGATTACATTATATGAAAATTAAAGTTTGTGGTAATATGTGAGATTGTACATGCTATTTCTTCTGTCATTGCCTTGACATAAAGGTGATGAATAATATTAAAGTGGCACTGTATTAAGTTATGTATAATATAGTTGATGTTTGCAGCCTGTGAAAATCGTTGAATAATCTCTTCTTTGACTCTGAGAGGAGAAAACAACCACCAACTTGATTTGTCTAAATGCATTAGGGAATAGCAGACAGTCTGTACTCACTTGATGGGTAAAATATGCAATTTGTGCTAAAAGTGTTCAGAATGTATTTTGATAATATGACATAAATAAATGTATAAATAATAAAACTGAAAATCCTGCACTTCATCGAGTGGAGGTCGAGGTCGATGTTGGTACCAGATCTGCTCGGGTGGTGGTCACATCTGCTGGGGGTCTTTACGTCTGCTAGTGACATTTCTTTCACAGATTTTACAGATGTAGTTTTGGTGGGTCTTTGGACAGAGAATATGGATCAATGCTATGAATCTATGGATCATTTTTTTTCTCTCCATGAAATACAAGAGGGGTCAAAACTGGTGTGTTTTGGACACAACAAGAACTTCAAGCACATCGTGTACATTTGATGTTAAAGAGTGAAACATGATACAGAAGGTCTACTCTCTCTTACCAACTAGGTGGCGTTGTTACAAATATTGAATATTGGTATGTAAATGTTCAGGCAGGGACTCTCATCAACTGTGCAACATTTAAGGCATTTTGGACGCTGTGTGTTTGAGTTCTTCCTCTTCCATGAGGAGATATTTATCTCTCTCCGCTTTATCGCTCAAAGAGCCCCAGAAGTCACACACCCACTCGAGAGAGTCAGTTAGCTGTACGGGAGGGGAATTCTTTGAGAACTCATCCATTTTGATTTAATGAAGGATAAGAGTTATTCATTATTAGGCTGGTAGCTCACCTGACGGACAGGCGAGTTGTAGGTGTTTGTCAGGAGGCTTAAGACCCGCCTCTTAGCCTGTTGTTAGGTCGACCAAAAATTAGGTTGAGACAGCATTTCCAGCATGGGGACAGCAGTAGATGGGCTTCCAAAGCCCCCTGAAGTAAAAGACTGGTGACATCACTCAGGCTTCGTCCATATACAGTTTATGATCTACAAATGCATCATTTGCTAACAATGTTTACAAAAATACAAGTATATCCTTTCTACAAGTAACCTATACCCTGTCTAAGATCTAGTTTAGCTCAAAGTTATTTAGTCTACAATGTAGCTTGCATGCATTACAGCATAATTGCATATTCCCATGTCTCCTTGAGTTCTTCTGAATGACTTTCACAGTTCATATGTTTGAAATGATGTCTCTCCAAATTGAAAATAAATCCAAAAAGCTTGTTTGTTTTTTTACCACAAGGTCTTTCTTAAATGTGTTTTACTTGATCCTCTCTCCACCCTTCCTCACAGTTTCCACCAAGTTCATCATTCACTTCGATCACTTTTGCATCCCTAGTAGTTTGTGATTTTCTCCACATCTTGACCAATATAGCAGGAGCGGTCAGCTTACAAGACAAAATAGCTTGTGGTCTTTAATTACTCAGGACCTGTGTAGGATGTCCTCTGCCAGACAACCAGATAACCGTTTTTTCACCCCCCCCCCATGTGTCTCCCTTCTTTTTAGAGGAACAGTGAACAGTATGGTGACCAATATAGAAGAATCCCCAGGGGGCTCCCGAGCTGGCCGACCACCAGTCATCTTCAACCCAGACTTTTTTGTTGAGAAACTCCGCCATGAGAACCCTGACGTTTTCCTGGAGCTGGTGTTAAGTAACATCACTCGGCTCATTGACCTTCCTGGTACAGAGTTTGCTCAGCTCCTTGGTGAGGAGGGCCCGAAGACGCCAACCAGTGGAAATGGAGGCTTTTTCCGCTCTTTCAACTTCCTCAAACGTAAAGGTCAGAGCTCCACCACCAAATAACTACTTACAAACTTACAGTTAACAACCTTCTATGTTGTATAAACCGAGGCATACACAGCATTTGGCAGATTAGAGTCGCACAGAAAAATTAAATTTGGCAGCGTTCCACTCTGACAGTTTTAAATGTGTAGATGCACCATACAAATGAAGGTTTGTTTACATACTATAAGTTATAAAACTAAATATAAGAAATATACCATTTAACTGCTAACAATATATAACTGTAAAATGGAGTGTAATTAATGTATAAAAATAATCACAAGGGGTTCATAGCGTTAGCCTCTTTTGGGGTTCCCCCTCCTTCACAATTTCTTAAATTTCTTGTACATTCTAAAAGCAAATAGCAGAAATTTTACATCTTTCTTTATTTTTATTAACTATAAATCTTGATATTACCGGTAATTCACTTAATTATGTTTCTGTCTTAACAATAATCAACAGTAATAGTAACAGTAAAAATGTTCTGTGGTTTTATTTACTCTTACACTGTCACTGACTTTGTGCAAGAAGTGCCAATGAATTAATATAAGACACAACTTCATCCATCCCAATTTGACAAGTCTGCTGTGTTCATGGGTGATGAGTAATTAAAGTTATATTAAGATTCCATTCAAACTCAAATAATGATCATGTGTCAAAGAAAAAATCACTTTCTGGATTATGCCTAAACAATGCAGCATGGAGTACTAACACATTTATTTACTGAAAAAAAAATGTTTCTGAACCATTTGCACATACATTGATTCACTGGTCTCCAGCCTTCAAGGTTCCCTTAAACATCCACATATTTGTACATTTATTCAAATCAATTTTTTGCTTTTACCAAATCGTGCCTGAAGAGATTAAAATAAGATCCATACGAGGACACTAGACTAGATCATCATTATAAAGAGGTGCAGAAAAGACAAATTAATGCATCACAGTTGATACGACTGCAGGGAAAATGTTTGGTTCTGAAATATTTCTTGGGGAAGACTCTTAATGTCAGATTTAACCTGTGATGTCCTCCTTATGTGAAACTGTCCTGTTGAAGTTACAGATTTATCACTGAGTTGTCTTTCACATACCATTTAATTTTTATCACCTCTCTGTGTCTGGCTTTATATTTTTTACAGATAAAGGTGTTGTGTTTGGAACCCCTCTGACAGAGAGCTGCATCGCCCAGATCTACCAGCTCATAGAGTACCTCAGCAAAAGTGAGTCATTTTAAAAAGAATCAACAGATTCATCACACACTGATTCTTAACCCAGAATATTTTGATAACTGCATTACACCATTTAAAGTGGACAGTAACTTTAAAAAATATATATGTTGACAAAAAAAAAATCGATTACGAGAGTCTATTCAGGAGCTGAAAGTTACTGTGTGGGTATTGGTGAGTTTTGAATTGGTTGGGAAACAGACTGAAATGTATGCTGCTCCCTCTCTGTGAACTAGAAAAGAAAACAAGACCAGTAAGAAGAATATTTATCAATTCTGTATTTGTATTTTGTATTTTATTTCTTGTAATCACTGCCACTGGATCCGTGTCACACAGTATCTCAATTAATGGAGAAATTAAATTCTCGCTCTCAAATTACATAAATATGAATGATCCAGATTTTATGGCACACAGACCAAAAGTGTGTTTGATGACTTTTTTGACAGTATGTAGAAAGCAGTATGTTTTTCTTTCAGTTTAACGGACACTGTGCACGAACAGGACAAGATCACCAAAGACATTTCTGAATCGAGACTGTATGATTATGAACTCAATTCTTGGTCTCTCTCAGTGACAGGTTTTTAAAAATAACAAGCCTTTACACTCTGTGCACCTGCTCAAATTCCTGTGTATATTTAAGTGAGTTTTCATTGGCTGATAGCCTGATACCATCTGCTCCTCCGTTTTCAGATCTGCATGTGGAGGGTTTGTTCCGGGTGCCAGGGAACAGTGTTCGGCAGCAGACTTTGAAGGAGCTCCTCAACAGCGGGAATGATGTCGACCTGGATTCTGGAGACTTTCACCCCAACGACGTGGCCACACTGTTAAAAACATTCCTAGGAGAGCTGCCGGAGCCCCTGCTCACACACAGACACTTCCACGCACACCTTAAGATTGCAGGTAATAATGAACACACACACTCACACACATATTGTATTACTTTATCACATTTGAAATTTAAGATGTGTCTTTCCATATGGGGAAAGATGTAATTTAATTGTTAGCCAAGGAGTAACTTTTTGTTGCCATATTTTATGACAAACCTGTCGCTGACTTTTCTTAATCAAGGTGTCAAATTTGCAGAAGATTGTACTTTTGGTCAGATAACTTATTGGAAAGTTGTCTCTCAACACAAACTCTGGGGAGAGCAGACCAAAAATGAATATATGGGCTGCTAATAGAATCAAGAATAACACATCAACTCCCACATCTATCTGCTCAATCTCAAGGTCCATTTCACAAAGCATTCTACACTAATGATATTCAAAAACACCCATAATGTTTTGCAGCTCCATGCTGTTTGCTCTTCTTTGCTCTTCTTTGCCTTTGATTACTGAGATCATCTTTCAGCTGAGCAACGCTCTTATCCTGACAAAGCTTACTTCTTTAAACATATAGATGATGAGTTGGATAGGTAGGGACACTTTTTAAGCAGTTTATTGTGAAAGTGAGGCTCATTGAATTTGACCTTAGTTTCACAGTTTATCAAATGTTCCCTGGAGCTAGCCAGTAAGAGCTTCTTGTCCAAATGAATAAAAGAAAATGCTCCATGTAATGGCCCAGACCCACACCACACATGGATAAATTGTGCCTGTACACTATGGGCTTAGGTGAAGCCTTGAACAGCCTCCGACTGATTTAACTCCTAAATAATGATAATGATAGTAATTTCAATTTAATACTCATAGGATTTATTTACAGACAGCTCATTTTTTTGTGATACAGAGGTGGAATTGTCCTAACCACTGGAAAGTTTGTGTGTGACTCACCTCATAAATACTGCGGCCCAGTTACTAACTCTCTGCAGATGGTAAAAACTCCACATTGTCTGTGTGTGGCTGTTTGTGCTGCTGTTTTTGAATTATTATTATTTACCGGTATTTATTTTTCGCAATGAAGCTAATTTGCATAGAAAGCAGCACATTTTCCCCCAATTGAATGCATCGTGGAATATTTAAATACTCAAACAGCACTGGAGCATTGAGATGCTCTATGCTCTGCAGTGCATTGTGGGGAGCATTTAACCCTTGATATCGGCTTTGTGATTTAGACTTGCCTTTTTATTTCAACTACATACCAAAGCTGTGCAACATTTATTTCTATTAGGTTCTCTTTGTTGCTTCATCAGAAATGTAAAAGTGACTCTGGTAAAACTATTCATGACTTTACCTCACCCTCTCTGTGCCCCCCAACCAGATATGACCCTGTTTGATGAACAAGGCAACAAGACTACAATTCCCAACAAGGAGCGACAGATAGAGGCCCTTCAGCTTCTCTTCCTGCTCTTACCTCAGGCCAACCGCTCACTGCTCAAGCTGCTGCTGGATCTGCTCTACTACACGGCCAAGCAGCAGGACAAGAACAAGATGTCGGCCTTCAACCTGGCGCTCATGTTTGCCCCCCACGTCCTCTGGCCCAGACATGTAAGACTTGTGTTTTAAAACTTGTAATTAAGGGTTTAGAAATCAGGAAGAGGTTTTGGAAATTTAAAAATGATATGCTATAAAGCAAACGAGAGAGTAAATAAATGCAGATCAAACATCTGTTGCTGACCGTTGATAAAACCAACTTTAAATTTCCCATGAAGGGCATTATTTGATTTGTTGTATTTATACGTTTCCTGTAGAAACAAATCAAAAGAGAGGACTAACTAGGTTTATGGATTAACTTTTACAGTTGCTAAATTCAGTTCAGTTTTAGCTCTAGTTGATGTAATCCCCTGCAACCTGCACTATAACCTAAGGTGATGTAAGTGGGGATGATCAAGCCCGCTGAGGGTTTCCAGGGGGGTTGCCATGGTGGGTACTTGAGGCAAGCGATAAAGGGAAGCAACATCACTGGGGTCATCAGGTGGGCATCCTCCTTCATAGGTGTTTTGATGACAGGTCAACAATGCCTCCAGAGTGCTCATAGGATGTGAGCTCTGCAGTTAATCAGGCTCCAGTAAAAAAAAAAACACACATACAACCTAAAGCAAAGAAATGCTAACGTAAAGACAAGCAGAGCGCCTACACACAAGCTAAGCTAATGTCAGCAGCAGCTCGGCCTGCAGCCCCTGAATGTTCCGTGTCTGCCAAACATTAAAGAAACAGTTATTGTTAACATGAGGACGCTGCATTCAGTGTCATTTTGTACAACAATTCATATCCTGCGAGGGTTGAACTGTTGTTTACTACATTCCTATATTAAATAATCGAATCACTTCTTTGCTATCTAAAACAGTAGTTACCAGTGCAGCCATGATTCCTCCATGGTGGTAATACTGAGCAGCTTTCTGTGAAGGCTGCCATTTGAGGCATCAAAAAATAAATGATGTCAGTTGAACAAAGATTTCTGTTTCTAAATAAACGATTGTACAGGATCTGTGCATGTACTGACGTACTTTTTTTGATACTTAACCCCACCTTTTAGGAATAATTAAAGACATTTTATATTCTAGTCTTTACATTGGATCAACTTAAATTAACCAGACAGCAATGCAAGACAAATGTGATAAATGTTACCTCTCTTTTTGTTACATTGGGACTTAAAGTGAGGTTGTATTTTAATTATTTAATCCCAAAGTTATCAAAAATCTCTGAATGCATCATTTTTCAAACTCTGTTCTGTTCCGCTCCAGATGACGGCCGGTGACCTGAAGGACAATCTGAAGAAGCTAAATAACAGCATGGCCTTCCTTATAAAACACTCACAAAAACTCTTCAAGGTGATCATTAATACCACACAATTCTGTGCTATAAAAATGTTTCAAGAGGAATCTTAGAATATTCCAGACCACAAAAATCACTAACTAAGACCAGACACAAATGAATAATGTAACATGTTTAATAGATGATTGACTCATCTCTGCTGTGTTTTGTTCAGGCTCCAATCTACCTGCGGGATTACGCTAAAGTTCACTTCACTGGGACCAAGGCTCTGCAGACCAAAGTTAGTCTACATGAGAGACATCAGAGCTCATTTTTTTCAACATCAGAGATAAACACAAACACTATATTTTTGCCTTTTTTTCTCTTCTACCCTGCAATCCTAAAATAGATATAAAATGATCCTATCAGAGTAATGTCAAAGCCATTTCCCACTATAAACCAGAACATGCACTGCCTGCTAGAGAGAGTGAAAGACGGCCTGGATGGTTGTTTTTATGTTTCTTGTTTAAACCGCCTAAATTAAAGCCTGACTTCTCTCAATCAGGATGATCTGGAGCTTTTGGCGGCGGGCAGCTGTATTGCTCAGCGGAGAGGGTTGCCTCTGAAGAGGTCAGCTGTTCCCATGGGCCCCTGCTCTCAGGAGCAGTGTCAATCACCGGCTCAACAGTACACGGAGGAGGCCCTGAAGGAGCTCTTCAGACACGTCCACCACAACATGCCTGACTCGGCCAAGAAGAAGAAGCTCGTCAGACAGGTTCACTTCAGGATCTTTTTTTACTGTCTTTAAGCTCAGCAGGCTGAACTGATGTCATAACTTTAGAAAGCTAGATGATGCGTCTTTTAAACTTCACAATGAAGACGTTTATAAGCTAAGTTGCTTAGTGTTCTTTTTGCTCTTTTGCTATGTGCAGTTAGTCAAACAGACGACCTCGGAGACACCTACTAATGAGAAACAGCATGGCCCCCCAGCCCCCAGCAAGAAACATCCCCGCTCGCGATCCTTCGGTGGACTAATTAAGGTTTGGATTATTATATTTTTTTTCTTATTTAGTAGTAGTTCTGTTGCTGCAGCTGAAAGGGTGCAGCACTGGAGTCCAAGTCCAGGTAATTTCCCTTCAAGGACAATGAAACGCGTCGTAACGTATGGTAGAATCATATCTAGCTGCCAATCCATCATAAAGCAATCCCAGCTTTGATTTGTGTACTTCGGATGATGATTTGGCTTCAATTAATCTCTGTGAACATTTATCTACAGGAAAATGCAGCTAACAATCTGAGTCTTAAACAGCAGAAGTTTTGGTCAGAAGTCCTTTATCTCAGTTGTTTCTTGCAGATGCTACCTTTAACAATTAGATAAAGGGTTTCAAGATTGATCTTAAATTAAACAAACATGACTCTTTATGTAACCTGAAAGACTGGCCTTTTATTTTATTGCAACAACCTTCTTTTTGGCTTTCAACTTGTCACAAATGAAAGGACATTTTTTTAAATGTATATGCTTAATGTGCATGATTAAGCCACACAAATACAAAGGCTTGCAATTTCCTTAAACGGAATACTTATGACAGGGAATGAATAGAGTAGAATAGAATAGAACGCCCTTATCTTCATCATACTTTTTCATACTTTGAAAATGTAATGTTTCACTTGAAAGTGCACAGCATTCATTTACACTAACATGGAAACACACAGATATTTTTGGACTGCACAGTTATAAAAAAATATTTCATGGTAAAAGGACTGACCAGAAGAAAATGTTGCACTGTAAGATGACCAAAAAAAATCAATTTCTCTGGTTCAAATGTGGTTTTCAGCGATAGATGGTCTTTGGCAAAGTTAGAGATGTCGTATTGATGTCTGTAGGCATTGTCTGAATTATTCTCAGAATTTAACCTGGGATGTTTCTGGGGGCTATTTTCAAATTTGGTTAAATTGAAATATAAATTCAGACTAGTCAAAAATTAGGCAAACAATCATAAAACAGTCAACTGAGAAAAATTCACTGGTCCACAGCATTGGTAGTGAAGGATGTCAAACTGGTTTGCTCTATGTGGCTAACGCTAGCAGTGCTAGCACAGACAGCCCTCGATCCTCCTTGCAGGTTAAATGTGGTCATGCATTGCTCCTGTCGAGTGGTTAAATACCAGTTTAACCTGACGCAGCCTACATACAACTTGATCTCCATTTAAAATGTTTAACGACTGATTAAGTGCACTGCTCCTGTGAGATGCTATCCATTCACTGTGCTTGTTTACATCCGGGCAGCAGAGCATTATAGCCATAGTAGCCATTAATTGGAGCTACAGCCCTGGCTAGTGGGCAGCTGCATTACACGTTAGACATTGCATTTGACTGACATAGTGAGTCTGAATTTATAAAATAATATGAATTGATTTAATAATGTGCAGCTCTTTATGTTGATTTCTGTGTCAATAGAATTTCAAACTGCTTTCTGTGATTCGTTGTCGGTGAAATGCTCATGCAGATGTCTTTTTCACAAACGACTCAATATATGATGTTTGTGTAACAAGAGGTTTTAGGCCAACATTGTGTATTCACTGAGCCAAAGCTAACATGTAAAACTTTCCTACCCAATGTTTTGAAACAGCGCAAAGCTCGTGGTGAGCAGCTGACTGGAGAGGGGCGGGTAAGACACATCTCCCCCGATACCGTCACAAGAACCAGAAGGAAAACTGGCAAAGAGAACGTCATCCTGCAAGCTGTGAGCCTTTTTATCTTTACATCTTCTCATTTGTAATATCTTAATCCAAGATCTAATGCTGTCTATGTTGCTCTTTGTCTTTATGTCTTTACACACTTAAGTCTGCTTTATAACATTTCTCTTTTAAAAATAGTTTCCTCTCTTCATCCAGCTTTGCATGGGATTCTATTTTTTGTTTTATCCTGGAATCAAAAATCACTTAATTGCGTGTGTGTGTGTGTGTGTGTGTGTCTACAGGTTAACAGCCCACTGAATGGTCCTGTGTTGGGAAAGGCAGGGCTGGTTGTAAAAAACCCAGATTTTACTTTCTATAAGGACAAAGCTCTGAAGGTTTCTAAGGTATGACATCATTTACGTTGTTTTGAGCCAACCTTACGCTTTGCAGTCTGTTTGTAACTAAGCACTTAAAAGACAAATTCTACAGTGTTGTACAAGCAGCTTTTAGTTCATTCTAGAGCTCTGGAAAAGAGTGTACACAAAGCTATTTCTTAATATAGAAATCAGCCAGGTCTAAATCAGCATGTTAATGAAAATAAAAATGTTGACTGTCATACAGCTGTATTCAAGGAACCTTTTTCAATTGTTATTTTAATTTATTTGTTTATTATTTTTTCTCAGGTATTGTCACTAAAGACTTCTTTTTTTTCTTGTTCTTTTTTTCTAAATCAAAATGTTTTTCAAAACGTTGAAATGATAATGTCCTGTCCCCATCCATCTCTCCTCACTCCATTCCTCTCCCAGCAGGACTCTCCTTCTGTTACCAGGACATATTTCTCTCCTGCTTAGGAGATCTAAGTGGATCAAACTGACTCCTTCTCCTCTTCTCAGACAGGACATGAGCAGTATTAATATCATTATTCCTCATTGTGTTTTATTTGAGTCAGTCTATTTTAAATGTGACTAATATACAGCAGCGTCAGTTTGTGTCAGAGCAGCCAAACCAAAGCAAAGAACTTTAATTTGCTTTTATATGCCCCAAATAAAAAGAGCCATCATAGTGAAGAGACATTTTGAATACATTAAGGTATCATGACCTCAATACGTGATGATGCTTAATGTTTTCATGTATAGAATACTTTCAGTCTCAGTGGTTTGTCTTCAACCCTGAGAAAATATTAAATCTATTAATGACACTTTTAATGTTATTTTAGTTTAGTTTTGAAACCAGGATATGGTCTGAGATTAAAATTACTTTTTAACCTTTCTATTTAATTTATTAAAACTTTGTATTTAGTTTTGCTTGTTTTCTGTAAATAGATGTGAGATGACTCGATGTAGGGCTGAGTTTTATTCATTGCAATCATGTATGACCTTATTACAGTAACATCTTGGCAAAATCAGAATCACCTGATCGACTGAAAAATCACGTTTTAAATATGCTGAACTTCTTTTACATGAGCTTAAATTCTCAGATGAATTACTGTTGAATTTTTAAAATAATTTATGAGCTATTACCGTTAAATCAATATGTATCAGTTATGAAGCCTTCAAAAATGTGCCCCACAGAGGGCGCTATTGCATCAATGTTAACTTCACGAAAAGAAGAAAACACTAAGTCTCAATTTTATTTTTCAGTTTGTGGACGGGTCCCTCAGAGTCATGTGGATTATTAATTCAGCCGTCTTTGAACACCTCATCTATGTAGTAAATGACTAAACTTAAACATACTTTTTGTTATAAAGACCTGAAACAAGGCACAGATATTAATGCTGTTGGCTTAAAACTTAAAACAATTGAAACTTCTGTGCTAGAACGCCGGTCCAGCAGAGTCTTAAACGTTGTAATCAAACTTTATCCTGGGTCTTTGCTTTGGTTTGGCTCAGCTGGCCTCAGACCTGCTTGTGCCAGTAATCACTTCAATTTGTTTTTCAAGCTACTGTATCAGTGTCCATGACCACTAGCAAGCTGTGCTAACAGTCTGCTGTAGAGTGTAGAATATACATGTTGTACAGTATTTGTGTGTCTGTGTGTGTGTTAAGTTTTTTTTTTTAGACTTATTGGGAACTTCGGCAGTTGGTACGATATTTGTTAACACTTCGGTAACTGGATCTTTGTGTGTTGTACAGAATCAGTGAGCAGGTCACTTTATTGTTTAGTGCTTCTTTTTTTATGCAAACAGGACAAAATGAATAATTGCCTTTTTATTTTTAACGCAGTTTATTATGATACATTTTTTTGGACCCTTGTTTCTGAATCTGCCAAATGTGAAATGTTACAATCCCAGAATGTCTCATGAAACTGGACATCTTTTTTAAAAACATTGTTTTCTTTTTTTAACTAATGCCCGACACGTTGTTTGACATTTAAAGAGGATAAGCGATTTGTTATGTTGATGAGTCAAAGTAAGGTCAGTTTACGTTGTTGAATTGAGCAGAAATCCGTTAAGAGTCAAGTCTTCTCTTTTTCTGAACTTGTGAGTTATTTCTACTATTTAAAATGTAGCCTGAAGGGGCCACATTCTTGGTACATTAAGAGTCTGAGTAAAGAAAACAGGCCCGTTACAGTTATTCATGTTGACTTTATTGAGTGCTATTCCAGAATATTGATGAGACCTTTTATTAGACGGTGATAATATGAAGTCATTCAGTGATTCTCAGGAGGAAAGTTAGAGCATTGAGAGGTTTCTGATAGAGAGGACCACCAAATGTCTCGAAAAACCACGTTTGGTTTTATGATAATACACTGCTTTACAAAACACCACAAAGTAAGCTTAATGTATCAAATGCATCCATGATTTTTTTAGTGCACCAAGAGTCTTTGCTTAACACTGTCTGTGCCATCTGATTCACATACAGTACAGAAACACCTTACAAAGGACATACATCTCTTTCCCATAACTCTTTCCTTTCTTATCATCTCTGGTATGTAAATGTTTGGTCCGTCCTCAAGAAGCCTACATGCTGATCAAATCACAGAAAAATGGTGGGTTTGATCTTTTAAGAAAAGGTTCAAAGTAAAAATGTTAATATTTGAGGTTGTGCAGATTTTATTTCCCTTAGCTTGACTCTTCATGGCTTGACTTAACTGATTTCTGCTCAATTTAGTTTTTTAGAAAGGTACATGTGCACCAGTAACAGTTCCAAATATTCAGCCCTGACGAGGTCAATGATTTTCCAAAAATGTGAAGTTCTGACTGGAGTAAATGTATGTTTCTGAACTCAGCTGTAGGTTAGCTTCATTGTTTATTTGTGAAGTAAATGATGGTAAAAAGCTTCTTCTTTTAAGATTTATTTTAGGGCTTTTTAGGCCTTTATTTCGAGATAGTATAGTGGATTGAGTCAGAAACCAGTGAGAGGGAGAGAGTGGGGAACGACATGCAGGAAAAAAGCCAAAGGTCAGATTCAAACCCGGGCGGTCCGCTCTCTAGGATTAAGCCTCCTGTATGGTGCCTGTGCACTAACCAATAGGATACCAGCAAAGATGTCTCCTTTAAGGGTGCAAAACTATCCTTGTTAAGTGGTTCTTAGACCTTTTTTCCCCTCCCCTCAGTGTTCGGAGTCTGTTACTGGTGCATCCTGTTTGTTTTGAAGGTGCTGTGGAAGTTGTTATGAGGGGATGATTGAAAGTGGTTGTGATGTGTAGATGACATGTCAGGTAAAAACACCTTACCTCCTTTGGTTTCACAGTATAATGTTGACTCCTGAAGATCATTTTGTACTGTGGTGACTACGTTAACTATTTAAAAAATGTGAGTACTAGATCAATCTGACTGAATTCTTAAAGAAAGAAACAAGCTATTGAAACTGAGCTCTCCGAGTGGTCTTATCCTCCTTCACTGGGTCCCCGGCTTATTCTTTTCAGCTCCTAATGGACATCTTTGAATGGAGAGAAGTTTACATTTTGTTGTTTTGTAAAAAAGAGAAGAAAAGAAAACATAAAAAGTGCACCGTTTATATTTTGTCCAGCAAACATCAGCAGTTTCTCTGTTTGCTGTGAAATACTGTCTTATGAATCAGCCTTTTTTTGTTAAAGTCGCTGTGTTGCATTAACTTTTTTTTTCTTACATACATGTGAAACACTATTTTTTTTTTCCACTGGTATCTAACTGTACTTAGGGGTGTAAGGGTTCACAGAGGTGTGGTTTTGGGGTCATGGTTCAATTAGAGTTCAACGGGAAAAAAGCAACAAAAAGTCCTGAATTCATCTTTCTATGTTTCTCTAGTTTATTTTGAACTGACAGTAGTGCAAGTTCCAGCTTGTGTTGTTTAGAACTTACCTGGGATGGTTGGTACAACATGGAGTGTATTACACATTCAATACAATAGAGGAAAACCAAATAATACAAAATACAAAGCAACCTGATAAAAAAATATCACTTAATGGCTCCACTGTGTCATCTCGCTATGATATATATTATTCTTTGTGGTTTTTTTGTGTCTGTTAGTTCGTTCTTAGTTTGCTGTTTAAAAGAGGTTAGCAAACAGTTTCAAGCATTACCACCACACATTAATATTTATACCCCCCGTATGGATACTGCCGTGTGTGGTGGCCTTTTATGACTTCATGCAAAGAACCGTGACATCCGGACCATGGCGGTATACACCGATACAAAGCCCTTTACACCACTAGTACTTGTAGATGGTGACTGAGGAGTTCTTCTGTACGATGTGAGAGCACTTTGGTGATGAAAGTACGTGAATTTTGAGTCTCTTTAATCTTTACATTGAGTTGTTCGTTGCACTTCTGAATGGGCAAATGAGACATGGAGAAACATTTTCACACTGAATGTGCATTTTTTTTTTTAAAGGGGAAACTTTAATCTTATTATTTTAGAACATCTTTTTTTCATTTTGTCATGATGAACTCATCTGTGAATGCTCTAGCATCTGGTTCAAACTGTGGTCTCCTGTTTGTTTTTTTGTAATCCCATGTAAAATAAGTTAACCTTGTACAGTTGTTTGCTTTTTTTGTCAAAACATCCTCTTTTGGATTAAAACTTTTTTTATGTTTTCCTACTGAAAGTCTGTTGTTTGAATTTTGGTTTCTTTATTTTGCTTGTACTTTTCTAAATGTGTCTTGTTTACACTTTTTTACACACAGTTTTAAGGGCAGTCATCCGAAAAAAAAATAAAGGAGGAATATTTTTATGTTATTATATTGATATAATTTTTATTGATGTAATTTGGACCAGTTGTTCTCAACTGGTCTAAACTCAGGACCCACCAACACCTCCTAAATGAAAAATCACGGAACAAATTCCAGAAAATTTCAACCATTTCAACCAAATGTATTAAATAAATAAAAGAAAAATGCTGTTAGGAGAAAAGTAACTAAACACTATCGTATGTCAACATCACAAAACAAAGTAGTCAACAGGTTTGTCTTGATAAGCAGAGTATTTCATTCATTCGTTCAAGCACTTCCCTGCGCACACACACTTAGATTTTTGCTCTTCCTTTTTGTCCTCGATGTAAGAAAACCTATTAGTGGTGTCATATTTCTCCATGTTAACTGGCAGCATAAGAACAAACCTTATTCTTCATCTAATTCTTTTCTTGTCTTTTGATGTCCTTCAAAATAAAATAGGAGCATAGACTTTTTAGCACAGCTGTCCTTTGTCCCTGACACACATCAACAAGCCCCGAAAAAACACTTTGGACAATGCTCTCATTATTGAGCATACACGCACACACACACGTTTAAGTTGCAGTGCATCTGTAGCACATTAGAGGGTGCTGCTGTATAATTTAGAGTTGTAAGTAATATCAACATTTCTGTTTTTCTTGCTGTTTCCGTATTACTAGAGTTTCATTTCATGAAAACAGTGACAAACATCAGTATTTATCACTGAAATGTAATATATTCATTTTTTATATTCAAGGTTGGATTTTGGGATTTTAGATTATCATATAAGTAGGTTTTACATGAATGTAAGATGGTCAAAGTTTTCAATTCTTAGCTTGTTTTTGATACCACATGTCTTAAAACAGTCTCTGTTATTGTAATGATCTATGGAATCAAGAATAATTTTTCTTTTTTTTAAGATATATTTTTGGGCTTTGTATGTCTTTATAGGAGAGTGGATGGAGTCAGAGATCAGGGAGAGACAGAGTGGGGGAATGACATGTGAGAAAGTAGCCACAGGTCGGACTTGAACCCAGGCTGCCTGTTTTGAGGACTACAGCCTCTGGATATGTGGCACGCAAACTAATCATTAGGCTTCTTGCGCCCCTGTAATGAAGCTTTAAACAGAGAACAAATACAGATCTTCAGTAATATTTGTAATATTAAACCAATAATTTATTCGGACAAAAATATAAGGAATTATAATACTACGTCATCTCTGTGATCTGCTGTATGGGAGCATGCCAGTCAATGCTTTAACATTTCTTTGTTTAATCAGGAGAAAACTCTTTGCGATAAAAGATGTATTTTTCAAGATTGTCCTGGCCAAGAAGGACATCAGCACAGTTAAAGTTTTTGAAAATAAAAGCTTTCAAAATGAGGCAACCAGTCTCTTTTTGGACTCCAAAGCAAGGCATGCTTTGATTCTAATAAAAAAAAATCTATTTTAACCTTCATATCGACTTCTGAATAAGAGGTCGAAAACATAATCATTCTTTGATTAAAGAGCCCATGATATCGGTAGTTAGATATAGACCTAATCAGTGAAACCTGGAAAGTTAAGGTTGAAGTCTCTGTGACTTAATGCCCCCAAAAAACAAATGACATGAGGTGAATTATGTAACATTAACAAACAACAGTGTGCTGCTAGCAGGTAGAAGAATCCTTTTCATAGTTGGTAAAATATCAGCAGTCTGTTTTTTCAACAATATCGATTTAAAATCAAACTTGTATCAGAGGGTACTCAGTATCTAAAATGGAGAGGGTTAGGGTTAGGGGTTAGAAATTGTAGTTACACACAAAAACTTTATGTGACTCAGCAGGCAGGGATCTAAACCTGACATCAGGATATATAATGTGAGTATGTTTGAAAAGATAGACTTCACTTTAGTGTGCAGAAATGATACCTCATTTCAAAGCAAACGCAGCTTGGTGCTTGTAGTGGAATAATATCCTGCACAGTACAAACATCTTAGAAAAGAACTTTGAATTCCCAAAACAGTGCTACATAAAAATCAAACGTGTGCACACTGATTGAGAATAAACCATCATCTTCTCTTGTTGGTCACAAGTGTAGAGGATCTTGTGCTGACTGAATATTTCAGAACATGTTGGATGTGTAAGACTGACTAAGCAGCATCATTCTCACTAAGGAGAAGCTGAACCTGTGTACTGGCTGGCTTCTCTGATGATTATTTGAACTGCTTACTGTTGTTTATTTACCCACAGCCATTATTTTACTCATATTGGCTGTTTGCTGATGATACAGATACATCCACATGTTGTCTCCTCAGAGCTGCAGAGACCATAACGTCTCTTCTGTATTGGAACAAACATGTCGAGACTATACTTATTGTGAAGGCCCAGGCTACTGTGGATATAACATTCATTCTGCCAAATATGAATACTTTTTCAAATCTTTGCCTCACATCTGCTGACCACAGTTTAATGTGAGAGTATTTCTTTGTTAACTGATCATCTATTAAAACAATCTCATCAGGAGAATAGTTTGCAGTTATCTAATTTGAGGATTTAATTATAAAAATAATTAAAAGTACATTTAGTAAATCATTTTTTATTCTTTTTAGTGGTATCATGTTTTGTGCTAATATGACTTGTAGGGATTTTCTTCTCCACATGAAGGTCTTGTGAATTGACGCATGTTAGACAAAAGCATCTGCTCTGTCCTTCCCAAAAATCAATTCAGAAGCGTCTCTCCCCCCATCCCGCCACAGAAAGCTATTATGGCCCCCAGGAATATGGGGTCCAACCCCCCCCCCCCCCCCCGGAGATGTCAACATCTCGTCCCTCCCTTTGTTGCTGATTATCGCCAGAATGAGTCACTCAATTCAGCTGCAGACGGGTGCTGCCTGTGGCCAATTTGTTTTCCATCACTTGTGAAGGGCGGCTGGTTAAATGAACCCCTCATACAGAGTCTGCAGGGAGGAAACAAAGTGAGGCCATGAGCAATAATCACTCATGTATAATGGTAAATAAAAAGCTGGTTTAAACTGTGCCCTCCAGCTGCGGCTCCTCATACTGCAAACACTTCATCAAACCAAAAGAGTCCTTTTAATTCTACATCACCTAAGGATATCTTGAACTGATTTCTTTTACTGAATTGAGATGTACAACTTCTGGAATAGAACCTTGAAGTCATCCTGTAACAGGTCATTTTGAAGGTACTTAATCTATCCAGGACTGAAACCTGTGATTAATTCATAATTGAATAACTTGCATATCTTTCACAAAGAAGACATTCATCTTTTACTCCATACTAAATGCCAGAAATGGTAACAAAGTAACGGTTTCAGAAAGGCCAAAGTAACAGAGACTCTTCATTCACTATCATACTAGACAAAGGAAAGCAGCAAATCCTCACAATTACGAGGCTGAAACAAACATTCTTCTTCGAGGTTTCAAAATTGTCAAGGAGATATTCAGCATGATCTTCAAAGGCCAGTTTAAAAAAAATAGATTTCTTAGCAAACGAAAAAGTTTTTCTTGCAGCCTTAGAGCTTTCAAAAATTTTCCCCACAGATAGCTTTGGTGGAAGATTCTGGGTTGCTTTTGCCTCCACCACATCCCTGATGATTCACACTCTTCTTTGCCTCTCATCCATGGTAATATGGCAATCGCAAAAAGCCTAAACCGGCATTTCTTTGGAGATTAAAAATCTCAGCCGGGCTCCGTTTGAATGTCAGAGCTTTGCCAGTGATTCATAATAGACTTCTGAGTAAGCTCTCTGGCAGCTTATGGCATTCCAGTTGTGCCAGTCGCACAAGAACCCCCCCCACACACCCCACACCCCCTCCTTAACCAAACCAAGTTCCTGCAGCCTCGGTGCGCTGTCTTGGCACTGATCCGTGGCAAAATAATATTATCATTTTTCACACACAGTAGAACTCCCTCAATGCTTCTTTTATTCCACTTTTCTTCACAAATCCTCCCTCCTTTTTCTGGCCTCACATTTTTCACCAGCACTTCCCCTAGAAGCTTCAGGGTGATCACGATTTCATCTCCTTCCTCCCTCCCTCCCTTCCTTCCTCTCTCTCCCCCTTTTTCTTCCTCTTTTTTTTTTTTTACTCAAAAATGATGCAGCCTTGGGTTCTTTTCTCTCCCCCCTAAGGGAGGAGAGGAGAGCGCATGTGGGAGCGAGAGAGATAGACAGAAATAGGGAGAGGGTGGAAGAGAGGGAGAAAAAGGCTGCCGTCACTTGAGGTGCCGGCTCCCGCTTCTGCTGTCACTGAATTGATGTGAGTTCACTCCGGGTGCTGCCGCTACTGCGTTTGTGTGTGTGTGTGTGTGTGTGTGTGTGTGTGTGTATATGTGTGTACATGTATGTGTGTGAGGGAGGGGGTGTGAGCGTGTGGGAGGAGTCTCTGTGCTGTTATTTGTAAAGGCTTTTGATGGATGATTGCTCTGTGTGTGTGTGAGATAGAGGGAGTGAGGGAGTCCCCCCCTTTCTTTTTTTTTTTCTAGTGGCTCACTGTTCAGTGCACAATGACTCAATGAAAAGTGGAGGGGAGAGGCAAACACACTGTACGGCTGATGGCGAGAGAGAGAGAGAGAGAGGGAGACACACACACAGGAGAGTAGAATAAGAGAAGCCAATTGGAGTGAGCTCTAAAGCTGGGGACAAGAAGAAGAAGAGGATATACTTGTCTTTTTCCTTCTCTTTTTTCTCTCAAAGGCCACTCTGGGATCAAGTGGCAGCCGATCATTTTGTAGGGAACTTCACCTGGCTTTGCCACTGTCTGTCTCAGCCTTTAAAGAATTCTAACTATTGCACTTGAAGCATTTTGTCCACTTTTCCAAGAGGTTTAAGTGGTGGTCAGTCTTGGGACTGAAAGAGAAGAAAGGTGATAGGATCTGTCAGCTGGTTTCTGCAGTGCAGCAGGAAAGAAGGATGCCTGCTGGGAGAAGCAGGGATGGAGCCGGGTCAGGAGTCTCCGGGATGGTCACATCCCCAGGTTGGTCTCCTCGCTCCGGGCTGCGGATGCTGCTGATCTGGGTCGTGCTGGTGCTGGTGGCAGGTCCATGCCGTGTGGAGGCGTGCCCCTCCCCCTGCAGCTGCCTGGGGAACACGGTGGACTGTCACGGCCTGGGGATCCACTCCGTACCCAAAAACATCCCCAGAGGGACTGAGAGGCTGTGAGTAATCATACATCTACCACATGTGTATTCAGATGCTCCTATACTTGTGAGGACCGTAGAATAAGAGATGCGTAGATGAGGGGAATCCTTCAGTGTGACGGCATGTTGCTGCTCCACACTTAAAGGAGCGCAGAGCTTTTTTAAAATCTCTGCTCAAAACTAGATCATGGGTCCTCACAAGTATATCAAACATGCATATGCAACGGATGTGTGTCAAACTTGAGCGAAAGCATGGGATATTTGTATCTGCATTTGTAAGCCAAACTGCTCTCGAATGATCAGTTTGATTCGTGACTCACCCTCTGTGCTGTTATTTCACACTGTAGTATTTGTGTGTGCGCACACTTTTGTGTAAATCCAGATTTGTTGCAGTGTTCCCTCTGTAATGCTCCTTCCACCTCTTCCTTACAGTCGTCTGTTTAACATCATATCACACACACTTAAATTGTCATCTTAACTCCCATTAAGCTGGTCTGCAGCGTTACTGCTCTCTCCTGCATATTTTCCTCATTACTTTACCTGTTTCATGAACTGTTTAAACTCCTAATCATCCTCTCTTCCCTTTTTATTTCTACTCTTTTTATTTCTTCCCTGTATGTCGTTTCAGCTTTTACTTAATAAGTACATGAGTGGAATGAAAAATGACAACATCATCTCATAGTTTGAAGCTATGTTGTTTTATTTTAAGCTCTTAAGAGACTGCTGATAAATGTCATGACACAAGTTGACAGATTCTTATAATTCATATTTGTATCTACACTCACACTCCAGAGACTGTCAAATGACTAAAGACACGAGCAGTCAATTACTGCTGAGTTAAGATGTCTTGTTTAACAGTGTTGCAGCATTTAAACAGTAGAACATGTCTAACTATTCAAACAGATGAAAATGTCATACTGTGTCTGTCAGGCATACAGATTATTTCATTCTGCAGTGAGTTGCTGTAAATAGAAGTTTCTCTCACTTCGTCATGTCAGCCCTTATGGTCACCTCTTTTATTCCTTACTTTTGAGCTCTAAGCCTTTATTTGGATAGGAAAGTGTATAGAGTAGGAAATGAGGGAGAGAGAGAGTGTGGAATGACATGCGGGAAAGGAGCTGTAGGTCGGCCTCAAATCTGCTTGGGAGAGTGTAGCCTCCATTCATGGGGCAAGACCTATATCCGCTAGGCCACCTGAGTCATTTTTGCAACGACACCATGCTCATTTCAGATAGCCGATTGTTGTTATGTTGCCTATATGGCAACATTTCCGCTGAAAATATAACTTTTAGATATAATTTTGCATACATTTTGCTCAGATAAAACTCTAAAAAGGTATTCAGAAGATTACTTTCTTAAACAAATCCATTTTCACGTTGTCAACCAGTTCTCATCCAGTTTAATATCTGCTTAGGAGTGATGCTTTGCTAAATGTACTGCAGACTGTAAACTATGGAGTCAATATTCTATCACATCAACAAACTACCTGAAGACACCATGTCTGTGGCTCCATTTAGTGCTTTGTGCTATGTAAAGTTTGTATATATTGACAGTATCAGAATACAGATACATTGACACAGATACGTCTGTGATAGGCTCGTATCAGCTAGTATATCAGGCAACCAGCGTTGATGGGTCTCTTACCTCTACTGTTGCTGGTTGAAATGTTTAGCTGTGATTTTTCGTCCTGTTTTTGACCTTTTTGCCAAAATTTTACAAACAAATATGAAAACTGCAACCAAAATTTGAACCAAGGACTTGAAAAAAAATAAACTTTTTGGCCATTTTCCATCAGAAACTCTGATCCCATAAATCTGAAGATGAATACGTATTGAAGTTTTCAGGGTGGACTGTGTTGTATATAAATAAGGCAACACTTAACATGTTGTGCCTCACTGTTATGTGCTGAGTAAGTTATGTTTATACTGTATGTGGCTCTCAGTACAGGGTGAACATGTATTGGTTTGTATATTGTGTGTGTTTATTTCAGGTTCTAGAGTGCCTGTGTTTGAATAATTGATGATTGTCAGGGGTGCCAGCAGAGATACATTATCCTGCCTGCTCTCTGGTTTACTGTAGCGTGGAGGATGCTTTTTCCCCCTCTGAGCTTGATAGCTTTATGATCGGGGACTATAGGGCTCGGGCCCCCAGGTCAATGGGAAATGGCCCGGAAAAAACTCTGAGCCTGCAGACCCACTCGGTCATTTTTCTCTTATATTGCTGAGATGGTAACTGTTCCTCTGCAGAGTAATAATAATCAACAGAGAGGGGAACTGAAGAAAAAAAAATACTTAAGCATTTATCGTGTCATCTGCAAAGTCTATGGATACGATGTCATTTAGTGAGGCAGTCGCATGTTTATGTTGTGAAACATAAAATACATTTAAAACAATTTACCCCAATATCCTCCTCCTCATACTTCCAGACCGCACTGTGCTGGATCAAAACATTAGCATGCAAAATGTAATGTTTGGTCCAGCCATCTGTCACAGTTTAAAGGTCATTACAATGACAGAAAAGGATTGGTGTCTGATGATTTGTCATCAAGTCATGGCAGATATAAAAGGCACCATGATCAAAAAAACAGAAAGACAAATCCACTTGAAGGACATGCAGCACAATTTGTTATAGCCGGACATTCACAATTTTGAACAATGGATCACAAGATAAGTTGGTGATTTTTGCCTATTGTGAGAATGTGTTACTTCAGCGGTTTTCTATTAAACAGAGAAAATAAGTCCAATAGCCCAGTCCCGTTTTCTATAATAAACAAATCTGCAAATAAAAACGCTTTTTGAGTTAGAGTCTTTTTCAAAAGTAAAATAATGAGTCCATAGTGTCTTCATCTCAGCTGTGCATTTATGCTGTACTTCTTAATATGAAAATAGTACATACCTAACAGACAAAACACTTTATTTTCATGTGTATGTTCAAATATCAAATGTTCAGACTCAGAAACATCATAAACATGGTAGCTTATTTTTAGAAACAAGCTAAGCTGCTTTTTATAGAAGACTGTATTGTTATGAGAAACTGTATATTACCTCTGGTTATTGTTCTTTGAGTCTGATCATGTTCTAGTCTTGATTTGTATGGGTTTCTTCTTAGAACAATGCTACAACTTCTCACACATTGAGATGAAAATAGTGCCAATAGTTGCCCACTTGAATGTGATGTGCACTTCACTCTTCTATTATTTGATACTTTGAGTCAAACTGGCAGGGTGAATAAAAACAAACATATATTGATACTTGGAACCAGCGATTTGATGATTGTATCCCCTATGTCAGGATGATGATATATTGCTGTATCAATACATTGTCACACTCCCAAGCCTCTAGTCCTCTTAACAATCCCTGGCAGTTCTCAAAAAGACTACTTCAAGCCCTTTTAATGTAAACTTATTTTAAAATGTGTAACAGGGACAGTTTTTCAATTACTGCCTGTTGTGTTGGGATGGTGACATTCATTTCAGCAAAGTTTTCTGAAAAAAATCCCATGTTTCTTTTTGTGACCAGAGAAATGACCAGTGAGGGTTAACTGTGCACATGTAAACATAGCCATTATAACCAGCTAGTATTCCTTTTAACCTTTTGACCTCTGACAGTTTCCTCCTCTGAGAGCTGCAGCAGCCATTCGCCCTGCAGACTCAGACTCCTGTAGTGGAGGAAGAACTCATTAAACAGCTATTTGTTAAAGGGCTTGTCTCCCAATTAGCATGTAAAGTGATCTGAGTGTGTGTGTGTGTGTGTGTGTGTGTGTGTGTGTGTGTGTGTGTGTGTGTGTGTGTGTCAGCTGGACAGTTAGCCACTGGGGGAGAGTCCAGTGTGTGTGTTAGAGAGACAGACTTTGTGTACGGTATTCCCTGGGAGACGGGCGATAATAAGAGGGTCATTTATCAAGGTGACTCCACCAGTCAAACCAAACCCCCCACTCCGCTGTTGGATCGTCATGGTAACATTGAAAAAATGGATGCCCCTCTGGGCCCTGACGATCTTTGGTTATCTGAGCAGAGAAAAGTGTGTGAAAATGAGACACAGAATATCTGAGAGGACGTGTGAAGCTAAATGTATGGCCAGGTTTCAACACTTAAATAAACGAAGGAAATGAACATTTAAAAAGATATTGTTGTAAATATGCATACAATTCAGATATTTCCTCTTGGTCATACTATTTTGCTGTGAAATCAGACAGATTTGTCAGCTTTACTCTCCAATTCTCTGTTTCTTGACCAACTAACTACCACGATCAAGAAACACTAGAAAAAAAGTTTTTACTCTTTCACTAAGAAGACACTCGTAACCAAAGTTAGCACTGGCCAAGTTGAGTATTTCTGACAATGTACAATAATTCATTAGCTACAATACTTCTGTTAAACCTTGCACACTGGAAATGATTAAAACACATTATAAACTGGATTTGTGTTGATACACAGCTGTATCTCAAACTTCTTATGACAAGGCGTAGACAAGTACTTGTTTGCCTAATGTTTATGCAGGACATTTTCCTGTTGAGGATAATAAAATACATTTTCAGAGTTTTAAGTTACAGTTTCATGTGACAAGGTTAAGCAGGTTCTCCTCAGACCCCACTTTACAACATAACAAAGAATCAAGTTTGTCATTTAGTAACTACATTGACAAGACTGAAAGCTTTAAAAAAAATACTTCAGATTGATTCTACGGAATACTTTTATCTAAAACAGTGTACATCGATTGTTCAGTAGTGATTGTCAAAAGGAATTCAAAGAGTAAATCCTCAGTTCATGTGTATGAACTTTTCTCAGCTGTCTCTCTGTTTGTCTGAACCTAAAAGAACCCAGTGAACTCTGTCAACGTGTGCACATTAAGGAGGGAATGTTAGAAAGTTAAGGCCTGATTTAAAAATAGAGGGCAAAACCTAGTGAGGGCAGAGCACATATTCTTGTGTATGTGTGTGTAGGTGTGTAGGTGTGTGTGGGTGTGTGTAGTGTGGCATTAGTGCAGACTTCCTGGATACCCACAACACAAACATAAACA